CGCGAATCCGATCCGACGACTGGATACGATTTCGTCGAGCGGGAAGAGAAGGCTCACTGCTTAATCGAACTCCGAGATCGCCGGCGAGTCAAAAGGAGTCCCACGTGACGCGACGCGCGTTCAGCAGTACTCAAGCACACACAAACACGATCGGGACACGGCCCGAAGTGTCGCGTGGTTAGCTGCGCTTGAACTGAGAAAATGATTAAGAAGTCATGTGGGATAAGTCATAAATGGCGCACCGAAAATCCTGAAATGAAAGCCAGATGCAACGAGAGAGACCGTCGAAACGAAAGAAACCGAGGAAAATAAGAGAGCACACAGAAAACCCGATGCACGGGATATCGCGCAGTGTCCCCACCCCATCCCATCCAAGTCCGTCCGTCCTCTACGCGCCCAGCGCCAATATCGCCCCTGTGCGCTGCGCGCGGTGTGCGGCCTACAGTATTAACACGCGCGGCGCGGGTATCCGCTGGTGTATCGAGGGTATACGCAGACCAGTCCAGCCACTTAATCATAATTGATCAGTCGATCCTGTAGCCTGTGCCCTCGCGATCCTGTCGGCCAAGAGCACAGGGGGCGCGGGCTACAGGATGCCCGAGTCCTTGAGCACGTTCTGCAGGATTGTCTCCTTGACGGCAGCGAACATGAGCCGTGAGTTGAGAGATCTTAAGTGCACCTGGAAGAGGGTGACACATGGATGCCCCGCATCCATCCGTCTTACAAGCCGGCTGTTCGTCACCTGCGTCACACTGTGTTCCACACGTTCGGTAGCACCCTCATAGACGAGACGGACGAGGAAGGGATGCAACGTACTGCGGGTCCATGGTAAACTTCGCCCGATTCTCCTGCCTGAACTTCCACAGGATGCACTTCGCCATCTTCTGCAGGTCGTTCCCGCCCGCGTACTCGGAGAACTTAGAAGTAACGCCCCAGCGGGATCTTCGGCAGCTTGCGCTTGAACACGTCGATCTTGTTCTGGAAGAGGATCACGCTCGTGCGGAGGAACCAGTGCGAGTTGATCGATCATTGGTCACCGACTCGAAGAGGCTTGAAGGACGAATTCGGGTCGGACATCACTATCGGGCCGGCGGATTTCTAACATGCCGCGCTTTGTATCAATTCGGCCGACAGCTGGCCGCTCAACCGGGCATGGTGAAAGTGGCGCCTTGGCGCCACCACTGGCACCAACTGGCGCCCCCTAAGTTCCAATTGGCGTCACTTTTGTCACACTGGCGCCGTGCTGCAAATGCTTTGGCGCCACCCATTCACAAGTCCATCATCAATTAGTATTGAGTCTATGGCATTTCAAGCGACTGCTCTGAGTGAATGACGAATACAAGTCCGTGATGATTAACTCTTTTGAGCCCATTGCACCTGGGAGCATTCGGAGGTTTGTCCTGGCGCAAGATTGAAGCTATTGTATTCAATGCGGATGCGAATTTCCAGCGAATCTCCTGGAAATGGTCTGAGTGAAGGGTGAGGTCGGAAGTACAAACATGCGAGGTACGAGCTACGTTGTTTGTAGCGTCTGTTTATAAGAGACTAGGTCGGAAGCAAGTAATGCACAAAGTCCTGAATGGAACTCAGACCTCGTGCCGGATTTCAGCCATTGCTGAGCCAAATCGAGGCGTCAATTTGGCGCCGATATTGGCGCCAACCCGTCACACTGGCGCCGACTCACGCAGTAAAAGTGGCGCCCCCTCCGAGTGAAACTGGCGCCACGGTGACGCCCGTCCCACTGACTCTGGCGCCAAACTGGCACCGAATGGCGCCGGCCAAAGAGGTATATTGGCGCCGTTTGATGCCAAGGTGTATGGTAATTTTCGAAGTTGAACCGACAATCTGGGCCTTTGAGCCTCGCAAATTTACTGTACAATACGCGGTGTTCAAAGAGTATTGTCCATTAACATTGCGGGAAGTGAAACCGAGGGCACAGAAATTTGATTGCCGCCACACTGGCGCCAACTGGCGCCATGGCATCGGCGCCAGTTTCACTTTGCCCCGCTCAACCTCCATTGTTCCAACACGTACACCTCAAGCACGTGTGAAACACGCAGCACTAACACACCATGATGGCGCAATGCGCGAGCTGCCGCATTCCAGCATCGTTGCAATGTGCCGGGTGCAGGGATGCACCGGAGTATGAGCCTGGCGACGCTATCAACATCGTTTACTGCAGCGCCGAATGCCAGAGCAGGGACTGGAAGGTCCACAAATCTCGCTGTGCCATTCTACGCAAGCGGAGAAAGCTCCTTCACGCAGCCACGATACTCAAGGCTGCCCTCCTGACGTACCGCGAGGCCTTCTTCGATATTCCTCTCGCGAAGATCGAGCTCCGGAACGGCGTGCTCTACTTGCATCGTCACCCACACAGTGATATCTCTCACCGACCCTTCCCCCAGGACCTCACCGCCAACGTCGCACACAAGGAGGCAGCTCTGACGCATAATCAGTGCACCTTGGCCCTCGCCCTCTTAGGGCCACTGGCGCGGAAGCTTCTCGCAGGTGAGATAAGCCAGGCACAATATGAGACTAATATGTATGGCTGACGTGCCGAATAGGCGTCGCCTCATCGATTGAGAACCTCGATCTACGCATTGGAAAGCCGCTCGTACCAACAAAGCTTGTCGAACTCGTCCCCGGGGCCGACTTTGGCGGGGCACCGCACACTGTGCTCAAAGTTTGTCTTCGCTCCAGCAGGGAGACGTGGATTGTCGACACTGCCGGCTGCCAGTACGGATTCCGGGACGTCCTCAACCCGTTCGACCGATACCTCGCGGGCAAGGCGTGTGCCGTCCTGGGCCAACCTACCTCATACACAGCCAGTGAAACGACGGACCTCGACTTCATTGAATCCCTCCTCCCAAAAAACCGCATGAACATCGGCATGGGCAACATGAAAGACTCGCTTGATCGACAGAGGAAGGGTCGCCTGCACTTCGCCGCTTTCGTCGACCAGCGTGTTGGCAGTGAGAAGGATTCTTTCAATCCGTCCAAGGACCTTGAAGGCTCCGCGCCCGAGTTCCAGCGCAAATTCGAGAAATTTACGACGGAGCTAAAGACGCACATGGAAGGTTTGGGTACATAGCTTGTTGGCAGATCGGTGTCCTTACGAGGTTTTGTTCTTGACTACAAGATATGCCGGAGCTACACCCCGGCTCTTTTTGACTCTTATATTTCCCTGTGGATTGAACAAAAATTGAAAATATATAGAGAATTGCTTACATCAACTGGCAGCCCGAGACGCGGCGGAAACCGGATGATCTAATTCGAGGGATGTGGACTAGTTCTTGTGTTTGGCATACGGTTTCTGCTGTCTAGGCTTACAGTATAATTTCAGAACGAGGAACGAGCGAGGGAGTCTGTCAAGAGAGACTACAGTATAATCGCAAATGCTTGACACCCTGTCATGTCAACAGGCTCCTGGCTCCCGACATACAGAACATATCATGCACGCGAATCGCTGGAAAATTGAAATCAGAGCCAGCGCTCTCCGGTTGAAATCCTGCTTCAAGGCGAAATGGAGGATTTTACGCGAGTTATCAGGCAGCGGGAACCTTGATAGGAGCCACAGGATGTACCTCGCCACCTTCTGCAGGTCATTCGCGCCCGCGTACTCAGGGAAGTAGCGCCCCAGCGGGATCTTCGGCAGCTTGCCCTTAATACGTTGATCTTGTTCAGGAAGAGGATTACGTTCGTGCGGAGGAACCAGCGCGAGTTAATCACCGACTCGACTCGGAAGAGGTAGAGCGACTCGCGCATGCGATTCGAGAGAAGCCAGGCGCGTTAGCGGGGAGACGAGCGAGGACGCGGAGATGAGAGGAGGAGAAGCAGGTAGAAGATGACGAGAGGGATGAGGGCAGCCGGCGCCGCTGTAGGATCGCGTAACAGGAGCATCCACGAAGCGGAGGCGCTGGAGCACTCTGTAGAGCATGGTACAAGAGCGAAATCCAGCACCTCACGCATGAGATACACCGCCGCCTCATGAGCACGTAGTGGGCACGGTATCCCGCAGCGGCGTCGCGAGGCGCTGCCTACACGCTACTCTTCGCGTCGGTGCGCCCACGAAGTCCGCGCGACGACACACTCTCCACTCCTGCGCTCCACGACACTCGACGCCACCCGCGCCGCCGCCCTACCTCGCATTGACACCCCGCGTCACCAATACGCGCGCCATCCACGGCACCCTCCGCTGGTCCCAGTTATGCCGCGACAACGAGGTCCGCTGCATCTCCGTGCCTCTTGACGCCGCTACCCTTACTGGCTACGGCGCTCGCAGCGCGGCCGCCGTCGCCTCCAGTGTTGCCGACGACCTCCGGCGAAGGACAACGCACTGTGGCGGCGGAAACACGCCCCCCGGTACGCCAGCGCCGCCTTTCTCCACGTCCAGCACACAACGCGGCACATGCTCCCCGTCGAGGAGTACGCGAGCACATTTACGTCGGCGTCTGTGCTCGCCCCGCACGCGCGAGCCCACGAGCACCCCTCGCACCCCATCCGTCCCTGCCCGCTCTGAGTACGGGGCGATGAGGCGTACGCGAGGGGGCACCTCCGCATCACCATGGCCCGGAGACGCACACACGCTCCACGCCGTACGCACTACTCACTGAACGCCTGCGCCGCTCCGCGCTGTACCACGGACGCCCACATCGGCACAGCACGGGCGCCGCCTGCTCGATAAGTATGTGGTGAGTACCCCCGCGTCCTCGGTCCACGTCGATAGTTCCGGCTGATTGGTGCGGTTTGTGCTACCAGGGCGAGTTGGGGGACGACTTGGTGAACGTCGAGGTCCAAGGGCAAGTGCACCGCCACCACGTGACGGTCGCGTCTCAGACGCGTCGTGACAACATCAGCAAGCACGCCGGGCGCTACTTGCCAGGCCGTATAATAGAAAATTGTGCTCGCGACGAATAATTGAGAGCGAGGCGGAAACCCTTATCTTTACATATGACGCACATTTCTTGGTGGTTGTCCTCAAGAAACGCGAAGGCAGTGAACGGCCCAGGCTCGAGTTGAACGAGCCTCTCCTGAGTCCTAGGATCCTGTTGACTATTGACGTTTGCGGCAATTGAAATCAGGTGCGGACCTTCCGCTACTAGGCCTTCTCATGCTCCCTTTTCATCTTCCTTTACGTGCGAGCCCGAAAAAACCATGTTAGGTGATGACGATGGCCCAGGCCCGAGTCGAACGAGCTCTTTTCTGCATACATCCGCTTTTATGCACAATTCACGAATTGAAAGCAGGTGCGGGCGGACCCTCCGCTATCGGGCCTTTTTCTGCTATCTTGGGTGATGCCAATGGCCCAGGCCCGAGTCGAACGAGCTCATTCCTGCATACATCCGCTGTTATGCACATTTCACGAATTGAAAGCAGGTGCGGACCCTCCGCTACCGGGCCTTTTTCTGCTATCTGCGAGCTTCGGTGAATCAGCAATTTTTCCAGCTGAAGGAAAAGAAATGGTTGTATGTACCAGAGTCGCCGAGCCTCGGTGTCTTCTGCGGACTTTCTCTCAAGTGTGAATTGAGAGCAGGTGCGGACAGTCTGCGGACGCCATCCACTACCGAGCCTTCTCATGCTCCCTTTACACCTTCCTAAATTACCAAGCAATTTCTCCGCTGCCAAAAACAAAAAAGAAGGATGAAACTGGGGGATGGCCCAGGCTCGAGTCGAACGAGCGGCTCCTGCCGACTTATAATTACAGCTGTTCTCGAAATTAATGAGACCGATCACTTCTTTTTTCTCATTCCCAAAAAGGAAGGCAGGTGCGAGAACACTGATTCAAGTTCAGTATGCGGGCTAGAAAAGTTTGGCTATGTTCCGGGGTCATTCTTGTCAATTTGGGAGTGGAAACCCTCAGTGCGTCGTCCAGAAAAGAGGCTCGACACCAACTCGACACTCATGTTAGTACTGAGCGGAGTTTGAAATCTTAGAAACCCCGGATTTCATTGAGAGATTCAATGCCAGCTCTCAGAGGATCAAAATGAATCACTTCTGAGTTTAAAGGATGTAGCTGTGTTCAAATAACATGTTGTTTCCTTTGTTTTGGCTCTACATTCTATTGACAATGGCCTGAATGAAACCCAGAGAGAATTTGAAGGGAATTAACCACATAATAACCATTGGGGAATCGGCCGAAGTGCAGAGCACTGATCCCTTCCAAATTTTGAGGTAGATTGTCGTATATCAATGTGAAACAAGCATATAACTGCCAATTAAAGATGGGAGAGCTTCTCAGATGGATGCTGATTGATGGAGAATAGCTGTAGGTACTTTAGTTCAATAGTTTTGCCTCAAACCAGCCAAAGTTTTAGAACTCTTCCTGATTTAGGTGGAATTGAGTATCAAAGGTTTCTCATATGCCGCGCGCAGCGCAGAGAAAAAATTGGAAATATTTGGGGGAGATCTTATCACATTCAAGGCCATCCAGCCTGTTTTTCAGAGTTTCCAAACCCATCTGTAGTATCTTTGGCGCTTTATTTCAGTATCGAGATCAGGGGCGGTGTTGTTCGGCAAAGAGTTCCGATGCCCGGAAGCTTCCGAAATACCCTGATATAGATCCCCGAGATCCCCGAAGCATTGTGTAATATTTTAGTATCTTTTTCTCTTTATTTTAGTAATTTCCCCCACCTACACCAGTATTGAGCCCTTTTCCGGAAAGAAGGATGGCGAAGTCACGTGGACACAATGCCGATTGGATCGTTTCGGCCGCTGTCAACATACTGGCTGCTCAAATCTTTCGTTGAACACCCCCCGGGCCTACTCGCAAAGACTCCGGCCCCAAATCATCATGTGTTTTGTGTAGGTAACTATACCTTCCTTTTTGGGAACTTCAAAAAAATTCCGACCACTCTCATTAATTTCGGGAACAGCTGTAATAACCTCGTAACCCAACAATTTCGCGCCTGCATAAAAAATCCGATGAAACTCAGTGAATGGTCCAGGCTCGAGTCGAACGAGTGTCTCCTGCCAAAGGCACTGGATTGCTTTAAGTGAGTGCAGGTGCGGACCTCCCGCCACTGGGCCTTTTCATTCTACCTGTGAACTTGGTTAGGACATGCCTGATTTTCGGAGCGGTGTTGAAGGACTTGATGTCAGCTCCCCACGGCCACCTTTTTTACCTACTTACTCCATTGAACATTGCGGCTGACTGGCCTCGAGTGTTGGTTGAAAAATAGTGAAGAAAAGACACTGAGAGACTGGTCGTCTAGGGCCCAGGCTCGAGTCGAACAAGCTGCTCCTGCTGAAATCCGTGTGAGCTAGCCAACAATTGGAAGTAGGTAGCCTTCCCTCCCTCCCCTTTAAGCTTCCTTCACCCCACAATTTCCTCTGGCAAAAACAAAAGGATGAGACTCAAGAGGAAAAATGGCCCACGCTCGAGTCGAACGAGCATCTCCTGCCAACTTCTTAATCACTTCCGAAATGATGAATTGAGTGCAGGCGCGGACCGTTGAAACAGTGCACCTAAGTATAGGTTGGAAATGCAGTAAGGACTTCTGATAGATGCCAACGAACAGCACCACACTAAATCACTAACACACACACTACACACACAACACACAACCAATACGAAGTGCGAGATAATTGAGTTCGGGTCACCCTGCAGTATACAGGTAAGATGGAACTTCGTGGGACGTGATCAACTCAAAGAAGGATCGAATAGAACCTGTAGGAGCCTACAGTAGTTTGAAAACCACTAACAGTGCACAACTCTGACACAAGGTATCAGAGTTTAGGTAGATGAAAGCTTGTTCTGGGAATCACAATAGATTCACGAACTGTGCGCAGCTATGACCAGCCTACTAAACGGGGCTGATTCCAATAGCGGATACGACTACGACCGTTCTACTAAGGCGGGAACGATTCCAATAGCCCAACTAATGAACTACGACCGGCCTACTATGCGTGGACGATTCCAATAGAACACTAGCCTGCCTCATGCAACTTAACAGAGGGCTTTCGCTAACTCGCTGTGACCCTCCACGAGACGAGGTGAAGTGATTGGCTTAGATGATCCTTTAAAGCTTATAGAGCCAACAAAATCAAAGCTTCTGTATTAATGAATCTACACAAGAGAAATGTTTTATATCACAAATCTCCGCACAGATACAGAGGACACCAACACCTTTGACAGGTGGCTTCGACTTCCGTCTAAGCGCAACCAAGGGGGCAAGGATGAACTAGAAATCCATCTAGAAACACCGAGGGTGAGCTTCTGTATTGCGGGTTCTACGTGGTCTTTTATATGTTTTCGATAAATACATGACAGATTGCTATGAATAAGAAAGAATAAGAGAGAATGAGTAAACTGAGAGCTTCGGAACGGAATAGGAATAGTGACGTGGCCTTCCAGTGGTGGTGGGATAGGTGCCCGGCATCGGACAGTCATCAGAAATGACTTCGCGAACCGTATTGGGTATATTTGAAATGTTTCAGCACAGACCGAAGGGTTTCGCGACCCGGCCTGCTGCCTTGGCATACACGTCCCACATCGGCATGGTTGATAATCCACTGCTATGTGTCTTCCCTGCTCTCGTAAGAGTGGTAAATAGTCCGTTCGGCCGTTCGCGAATGCGAGGCCCTTCGGCTTCGGCTCAAGAATACTCCGATCACCAATATGCTTCCGCTTTGGCATTATTTGGTCCTTGCGACTGCATCACGACCATCGCATGTGGTTTCCTAGGCCCAGTGCTGGCTACTGCTTCAACCAACTCTGGCAAGACACTGATAGTCAGGGGTTCGCGAACATTTAACCTGGTTCGCGAACTTGTTCCGCTGCCCTTCCAGCCATAAGTCTATTGAAAGCGAGGTTTGTGAATATCAATCTTGTTCGTGAACTCTTTCTGAAGCCTTCCTAGTCATGAGTCCATTGAAAGCAAGGTTCACGAATATCAATATTTGTTCGCGAACTCGTTCTTGGGACCTTCCTGCATGGAAGTGGTGTTCGCGAACTGTTCCCTGCCCTTGTCTGGTGCAGTACAATCCATGAAGGGTGTCAAGGCTTTTATTATATCTCCTGGGTATGGTATCTAGCCTGCAGGGCAAGCTGTTTCCCGGATCACAAGAAACAACTCTGTCTGACGGAGTTCGCAAACACTTCTAGGATCATGAAGCGGATCCCCTATGTTTGTAAGGACCGCGCTTCTATGTCTCCACAGTGCGTGCTAGCTCCTCTAGCATCATTAATACACAGTTGGCAGTTCGGAGCTCACTCCGGCTCTAATTGTATACCACTGAACAGAGGTTCTTAGAATAGTGCTAAGAATCGCGAAAATGCGTGATTACACGGGTGGTTCAAAACCCGTCGTATCACCGTCCGCTACCAGGCCTTTTTCTGCTATCTGTGAACTTGGGTGAATCAGCAATTTTTTAGCACAGGCAGAAAAAAAAGCTGGAGGTGGCGAAAGGATATGGCCCCGGCTCGAGTGAACGAGCGCCTCTGGCTTCGAGAATTCTTTCAGCCAACAGAAAGCAGCTGCGGACCGTGCATTACCGGGCCTGCTTGTGCTTACCTGCCACCTACCACTTATGCACCATTTCGGTGGCAAACTTCTCATGTTGAAAAAAGCTTAGTTGACCACCATGCCTCCATGGGCCATGGCCCGGGCTCGAGTCAAACGAGCATCTCCTGCTGAATATTGCATGGACAAAGTCGAGTTAGTGTATGTAGGTGCAGAAACTGTCCGCTACCGGGCCTTCTTCTGCTAGCTGTGAGTACGATCTCGATAATCCAGAATCAGAATCCTCTGATTCGCGCGAGCCGACCACCATGTCCTCGAATCTGGCATTGCGAGTAGATGTCTGTGATGAATAGTGAGCTTCATCTAAACCTTCAAGTATGTCTAAGCGCACTAATTAGTAGATCGGGTAGCGGGCCGTGCTGCTCGTCGGCCTTACCCGCTTTATCTCAACAGGTGGTTGTCAATGATGCATGCCAGCGCGTGTCACGCCGAACGCACCTTCGCTGCCTGGCAGATGCCGAGCACCATTCCCGATATGAGTGACCGATCATTGATAGGCGACGACGATAGCATGCCCGATTAGGCAATGTATCCCTGCCGCCATCTTTAATCGTGTCGTCCGGGCGCGATAAAAAGCTCGGGCT